GCATGAGGAATGGGGGCACTGCATGTACTGTACTGTATATCAGCTTTCATGCAGCTGTCACGGAATTTGAAGCTTACGCAGAAGCGACAGAAAAGGACAGACATTGCAGAATATGAATGTGCTATTAGGACAGCAAAAATGATCATCGCTAACCAATCCCAAAATCATTATTAGTATCAATCAATACTACAGTTTCAATCAATATTAGCCATTCTATCAATATTCATGAGTAGAATGCATGTGCACTGATTAAAAAACATACTACTACAGAGGAACAAGTAAAGGTTTATTCCAGGGTGAAAAGAGAAGAAAGAAAACACAACGTTTCGGCCATGGAGCCTTCTTCAGGTGTGAGTTCAGTGCCTTTGTGCAAGAACTGAACAATTAATTCCCTCACACCTGAAGAAGGCGTAGGCCTTTGCAGCCTACGCATGCTGACGCAGCTACCCACCTGAACTGCTACATACTACTACAGATTCCAGTCCAATCCCAGCAAGCTGCTAGCACAAGGCAGGATACACCCTGGATGGGACGCCAGTCTGTCACAGGGCACACAGACACACACAGTCACACACCAGGGCCAGTTTTCCCAGCATGTCTTTGGACTGTGGGAGGAAACCAGAACACCCAGAGGAACCCCAAGTAAACACAGAGGGAACATGCAGATTTAAACAGAGTCTTTCACACTAGCACTTCAGCAATCGAGCCCAGCACCCCAGCACTGTGATGCTAACCACTAGTCATCATGCCACCCATCATACATGAATAAATGAAATAGGTACATTTGGTCATAAATCACTGACTACAATTCAAAGACTCAGCGATTTAGAAAACAAAAGGACAAATCAGCTCTATTGTCATTGTTGTTTTTTGATTTTGAACATTTTTTATTTTTAGTCCTATAGTTTAATGATCAAAGCATTAGAACTAATCTGATTTAGAGGATGTGTTTAATACTCACTGGGAATGTGGAGCTGAGATCCCCAGTCTGGCCCAGGTTGGGCACTTCTGACCAGACAGGAGAAGATGTTGGACTCCTGCTGGACTGGGATGTAGCTGCTGACACTGAGGAGCCCCTGACTGTCCCTCTCCACTGTG